TGTGTGTGTGTGTGTGTGTGTGTGTGTGTGTGCGTGTTTATGGTACTGATCTGTGTTTTCTGTCACACTTCCTCAGCTGACTCGTGATTTCTGCCTCTTCTTCTGTTTCTATGTTGTAACTGTGAAAAATATACCTCTACCGATGCACGGAAATCATTCTAAAACACTCGGATGAACATTGTCTGGTTCCACGTTCGACCCACAGTTTATTACAGTCTCTCTGATGTGCACAAAACTGGCAGTTCTACATTTCCCCCCCAAAGTGTCAAAGAGTAGAAACGCAGTAATGCGATTAATAAGCCGTTTTTTAAACATTTCAAAATGACATATTCTCAATATGAAGAAAGAGTTTGGCTGCTGAAACAACTTGGTTGAGGCGCGATGCAAACTCAGATGTGCTGCGTTCACCAGATGAGCGAAACACACATTTTACTGTTTATCTGGGTACATAACGGGAACACTACTCCCTGCACGAACACCTAAAGTAGTCATTGAATGTTACATCGTCTCTTACATGGTGACTCTCTTAGTCTTTTAGCACAACATCATGTATGTAACCATCATGTGCATGTTATTATAGGGTTCTGGTCTTTAAGTGAATCAGCTGGAACCGTTCAAAAGTTGTCCGTGGCGTTTTCAAGCTTTAATTACGCTAATTAGCTAACGCTAGCCAATGCTAACGCTAGATAAATTGCAGCTAATCAGTCGTCAGAAATGAGACTTTTGTTTTCTTCTTGGTGAAATTGAAGCGACTCATTTGGGCCTCGTGCAAGAACAACTCGTAGCCTACCAACAGATGGGTTCTTAAGTGGCTGGTACGAGTGATTTAGGAGAACTTGCTAAATTCAGCAATTTTCTCTCAATTTGAATTTTCTCTTAATCATGAGCACACTTTACGTGTTATTGGTTAATGTAACGACTCCGCTCGGGGGACATTCATCACGTTCATCATCAGTTATCTGAAGTTAGGAGCGTTTGCTGATTCTGACGTTGCTCACTCGTACTACGAGAAGTAAGAGAGGGTTGAGTTCAGAATATGAAAATGTTGTTGCATGAGGTCCAATGTTTAAAAAAACAAAAGATACAACACACTTTGAGAGTTAAATTTGTTTCAATTATCAATATAAACTGCACATTTGCTGTGTGAGAATAGAAAGGTGTAGCAAATAAGGGGAGCGGGGTTCAGCGAAGGGTCAATTAATAATTCAGACTTAAGAATTCAACATCAGTTCCCCAGACTGACTGGTGTTAAATAAGGATATCACCTTCACATGTGGCAGATTGTTATCTCCATCTGATCCGAGGCAGACGGGTCTGCCACCGAGGCCGCACTCTGCCTCGCAGCCTCGCAGCTGTTGTGAGTGGGGCTGACATGTCATGTACGCTGGTGTGATAGTTTAACGTTCCAGCTGTCTGCTCTCGTTGCAGCCGGCCACCTCACACTTCCTGCCTGCCGGCCTTTCTGTGATCAGCCGGTCGGGCTGTCTGCTTGCCAGCCCGACCGGCTTTTCCTCTGCTGCTGCCCTGGCCGTCGTCTCCCTGCCTGCTGGCCTGTCTCACATGCGGTCGTCATTTCTGTTGCACAGCATAAGCGAATTGTCGAATTTGGAAGACACCTTCAGCTGGTGCCATGGAGAAGTAGTCAGCATAGCATACAAAAAATAAATAAACGCTGAGTGGAGCAAACAGGTCCTTTTAAATATCTACATCGCAGCAGCATCTCGTCTAAGTAAAGATTTTAAACAAAATACTGTCATTTGAAAATGTAAAATAATACTTTTCTTTTAGATAAAACTTGACATAAACCTATTTACTGCAAATCACTTTAAGCACACTTACTGCCAACTTGAATACAGCCTGAGAGAGATACTTAAGTCTGCATGTGTGGTGTGTTCACGTGCTGTTAGGAAGTTCTGACATTTGAGACTTAAAGGTGCCCCGTGGAGTTTTCTTGTTAACGCACAAAAGCGATGTCTTTGTCTTTGTTGGAGCCGTGTTGTGCGTAACCTTCGCCAGATTAGTGAAATAGTGTGAAACTAGAGAATGTGAATCACATCGCCTGATAAAAACAAAACAGTGACCTGTTTATTGCTCCATAGTTCTACTCAACAGAGCACCTTTAAGAGTTAACCCTGTCTCATAAAAACTACATTTCCATTAAACTTAACTGCACTCTCATTTACGTTTCGAGCAATCTTGGAACCCATCGACTATCTGTCCGGGCCAAGACTTCCTCTTCCGTGCGCTGCTCATTGTTTACGGTCCGATTAGCAACTTGAGATGCGAGACTGGAGTTGAGAGACGACGTGTACGACCGGATTGTTTCACAAGTAACTGTCTGCTTGAATGTGATTGGTCAATACTACTTGAACTACAAGCGGGAACCAAAATGCTTCCGATGCCAAAATCTTTTCCCGCTGCCTACAGTCGTACGCAGAATCTTCTAATAGAGAAAAGTTTAATAACATATTCTGGGTGAAAGTCCTGTGTCTGTTCGACCCATCCAACCACAACTCCTGAAAATACGTTTCACTCAAAACATAATTGACGGTGCAGTTTAGTTGGGAACGTAATTTTTAGGAGACAAGGCTTTAAGAGTCTGCTGCCGAAGAGCATTTCCATATTGTTGAACCACATGCTGAAGACAATTATTACTGCAGTCATTTTCTAATCACATGACAGCACATCGATCTGCAATCAAATCTGTAAATGGAAAGTTGAAGACGTGAGATGTGGTTGAAAGCTCAGGCCAAAGTAAATAAGTAGACCTTGAGGTGAGATTATAACGAATACTAATACTGGTTAAAATACATTTTAGCTGCATTATAAAACACCAATAACGCACTGAAATAATGGCAAAAAACAAACAAAACAGTGTGATGTTTAGCAAAACATGCAAAAAATACCAGTGCGTTTTTAAATCTAACAATATAATATGTTGAGAAACAGATACTGTGGTAATGTTTGGCCGTTTCAGAAGTAACACTATTATTGCCAGAAACATAAGAAACAAAGTCAGAGGAGATGGTAATCTGTTTACACTATCTCTGCTTTCATACAAATTAAATTTAGGCTTATTTATTTATTCTGGCTAGACATCCTAACTATCACATTCTCAAAATATGTTTTGGTCATCTTCAGCCAAGATTCATTGTTTGAAAACTGAAAGTAACTTTCCTAATGGAAGAGGAGATCTGTGACACGTGGGTCACAAAAATAGGAAGAAACACAGTATTTATAGAGCCAACTCTTACCGTAAAGGGGGGTTTGCTTTTCCACGAGGTAACTGGAGCGAGGCCGACAGTTCGCGCTATATTTTCACAGCAAAGACGCACGTAAGCCTCGGTAAGCTCCCAGTAAACCCAGTGCCTGCCTCTCTGCCAGTTTTGTGTCCGGGAGGTTGAACGAGCTCGGCATTGTCACCACTTCCTGAGCCGTTCGTTTTTCTTCAAACTACTGTACAAAGAACAAAACCTGCAGCCGGGGAACTGTGGCCCCACAGGCTCTGTGGAGTACGAATCCCAGCCTTCCAAACCGCCCATCTTTATATAGAATATACAACCTGCCGGCAACACACGTGTGGCGACAACAACTCGTTCTTTCCTTGTGTTTTCCTGCTCCACACTGCCGGGGGTTGGATTGATCAAAGATGTTACTTTACAGGGGTTTTTTGGGTGTGGGGGGGGGGGATTGGCACTTGACAAATAACTAAATATATAAATAAATGTATAGAACACCACCAGTAGCTCTTAGGAAGCCCTTCTGTGTGAGGGAAGCGTCCCTCTCGTCTCCTGCTTCCCATCAGCTCTTTTAGAATTTTTTATTTTCTTCGAGTTCAAGAGAAACAGGAATCCAACAGCAGCTGCATTCTCTGGAGGAAGGTGTTTTGCAGGGCGTTTGGGTGCACAGGTAGGTCAGTGTGTTTGTGTGTGTAAATGCTGATTATGCCTTTTTGAAGCTGTTGTTGAACGTGTACGGTTTAGTCCAGCGAGAGCAGTGGCTGCATGTTGTCTTCGTCGCTCTTGGCTTTGTCCGGTCTTTTCAGGACGCCGGGTTCCACCACCGACTGAGACCTGCAGGGAAGCACGACACCAATGTCAGAGAATATCAATGTTTTATTTGTAAATTTACAACTTTATTCTCAGACAGTTTTTACCCCCCCCCCCCGCTGCTCTGTAATTTTATTTTTATTTATTTATCTACGATTGCCCTACGATAAGCAGTCGCTGGTTCATATTGGGAATATTTTGAGAATAAGTGACACATTTCCTTCCATAAAAATAAAACACAAAACCAGTACAACAATAACTACTACAGACGAGGAGACGTTAAAGGGGATGATCTGACCTCTTCATGGTTTTCGGGGACAGGTTCTTCTCCAGGTCCCTCTCCAGGTCTTGCACTGACAGGGTGTAGGACTCCGGACAGTAGTCGGTCTCCTCGTCGTAGGCGTGGTCCAGCAGCGCCCGCGCCCACGTGCCCATATCGTACGGCGGCATCATCCCGCCGAGCTCCGACGGCAAGATCTCAGGGTGGATCAGCAGGTGGAGGCTGTTCAGGTTGTTGCCGTGCATGAAGATCTGCAAAGGTACAGACAGAAGGACAGCTTAGATTGGGGACTTTGAACATGACTTTGGGCTTATAAACATGACTTATGTGGATCCATCGTACATTTAAAAAGTTTGTTCTGACAAAACAAAAGTGACAAAAGGCTTACTTTAATATTAATGTTCCCTCATCAATCTTTACAGCAAAATATTGTTATAATACCAATTTAAAGGTAATATATTAGCCATGTTGGCACAGGAAGCTCAATTGTATTGCTACACACAGATGTTGTTTACATTTCAAGAGAGGAATCTAACCAAATTACTTTTGCATTTAAAGAAAAAACTCTTAATAATATCAGTTTATTTCCAAACAGTTAAATCTGACTCAAGAGCAATTCATCACAATACAGAAAATAAGATATTTTTTGGATTTTGTCACGTTATAACCTTTTAGACTATTTCTTCTAAAACTTTATAACCAATATTGGAATGTTTTTTTTCTATAAAAGCATGATTAAGCCTTTCTTTGGGCCAAACAGTTGCTTCTATTAACGTCCAGCAGTCACAGAGCAACATTATCATTCATAAGTATTTGTGTTTGCGACGCTGATGAATGTAAGTCTGCTATTCTCTCTCTTTTAGCTCGTTTTTTGGTCTCCACCAACTCCTCTCTAGCTGCCAAATGCTCCACTGTGTCCACCAGCTGGTCTCTAACTGCGTCTGTGTGCTGTTCGGTGCTGAGCAGGAAATGTACAGTCAGTTTTTGGAGCCATCAAGTAATCGTTACAGTAGAAATATTGATTGCACGTAGCCTCACCCTCTTCCTGGTCTTGTCTTTGAGGAAGGGCCGTATCACGGTGTAGAGAGCGTGGATGTACCAGGGCTGGTTCACAAAGTGAATTCCTCCGAATCTGGCAGGAAAACTGTCCTGTTGGAGAAAGACACAAAGCAACATAATCCCATTATAAGCAGACCATTCAGAGACGTAGTGACATCTGCAATCATTGTGACGAATGAAAACCAAGATTCATAATCTCCCTGTGTTTTATCACAAATAACAGAACGCCGGTTTCAATCAAGAGGGTTTATTTTTCCCGTCTTCTTTGAGTTCCAGCAACTGAAAAATGACCTCTGTGAGTCCCCCCCCCCCCCTTCATTAGATTAGTTTTGTAAATGGGCTCTAATCTCATAGTCAATAGGAAATGGACCGGTCTTATTTGGAGCCACCGCGTCAACAACACCGCAGGGAAATGAGTCCTTGTTGCACAGGTTGGTGTGTGGAGTCTTTCCTCCAACGCTGGACACAATTATGATGATTATGCTCCACTGTGTGTGTGTGTGTGTGTGTGTGTGTGTGTGTGTGAGTCATTCTTGGCTGTGGTCCAGCAGTGTGGTGAAATTATATTCTGACATAACAAAGCCAGCTGATGCAAAATAAAAGGCTCGGGGCAGACGTTTGTATACAAACTGTGAGCAGCGTGTGGGAGACACGGAGACAGCGAGCGTCTCTGAGGTCGGGCCAGGTTTGTAAATTAGGGTTTGTGACCGATATGAGTCATCGAAGCCGAAGTCGATGCTCAGAGGTTTTCAATCCGCTGGCATGGATATCGGCAACCAGACTGTCCGACGCTTTGGTCCAGAGCAAGATGCTGTTTCTGGACATCCACGGCCATGCATCTAACAAAAAAATGCGTCTAACAAAAAACACATTTTAAAAACACAAAGGTGCAAAATTCCGGCTCATTTCTTGGTTTTAGGACTCATTCATGCGGCGCTCTATAGTCTGTGTGTAACTAAAGCCCAAAGCAGGTTCTTACTCTTCAAGTCTACATTCTTACAACTTACTGTGTGCATGTTGTCATGCGTCAAAAGTTATTAATATATTAATAGTTATATAAAAACACTAAATATTAAAATATGGCTGGTTTGCAGTGAAAATTGTGAATTTGTTTCCCAAAAGGCTGAAGCCCAACAGATACTGACGACTACTTTCCTTCGTCGAATGAATTAGTTCAATATTGTGCACAACATATATAACATATTATATTATTATCATGTTATTAGGATGTTATTTTAGGATGTTTTAAGAGTTTTAATGAAGAACATGTTGGAAATATTTTTAAAGGAGCTTTTTTTCAACAATTTTACAGTTTAATGAAATTTAAGCGTTTATTTTTTCAAAATAAAAGCATACAAATACGCTTTTTCAAACATTACGAAACATAAATTGTTTCATACAGGATATTGGTGCAACATGTTCTGGCTAAAGCGAGGTCCGACAACCCTTCCCCCCCCTCTCAGATCCCTCTGACTCTGGCCTGCCCGCTGCCCTGACAGACATTTTCACTTTGATGAAGGGACCTGCTGCATTATACATGAAAGACTGAAAATGGAATATGAGCTGCAGAGCCTCTGCTGCACCGCAGGGACTGAAAGAGGAGGAGGAGGAGGAGGAGGAGGAATGAAACAGGAGCTAAGGGAAGAGAGTGGAAAAGGTGTCGAGAGAAAGTGTTTAAAGGTGGAGACTTGCTTTAGAGAGAATAATACAACGTGAAGGAGATCAAAGATGTTGAGAAGCAGATTTAAAAAGAGCAGGTTTCTCAGAGTGGCAGCCGGTAAAGAGGACTGAAGGAAGTTAGGAGATTAATACTAAATAGACGTCCTTTTCCTCCCACAAACTCAGACGTTTGGAACGTGTGAACAAGGACAAAAGCAAGTTTAATCTTTTTGTGGTGAATATTTTCAGACGGTGTCCAACGCAGACATTAAAAAATCTATATTTATATTCTCCCCCAACAACTCAATGCCTGTGTCTGAAAGTGATACAAAACAAACAATAAACATCCAATACGATATGGAAACAAAGAAATGAATTGATGACGATCTTGTGAATCTGACATTTGATGAATCAAACTAATCTTGGCTGGAATATATATATGTGTATATATACACATATATATTCCATGATTTGACAAAATTGTGATGTGAATTCAAATCGTTGCTGCATGAACTATCTTCCGTCAATATTTGTGTGTATTTTTGAATCTTGATGTCTCATTAAATTATGGTTTTAGATTAGTCGTATTCATTTGTCACGGCTTTAGTTGCTCTCGGGCTGTTTCAAGGTGCTATTTATGTTATTTCTAGGATGAAATATTATTATTTTTATTGTATTTTGTGTCATCTGTCTGGTGTTATTGAACTCACTGCTGTTGCCGTCTATTGAAGGCCAGCGCACTCAAACTAGTCATTTTACCAGAGGATGATTTTGATATCTGTATTTCTGACAGGGTTGAAATAATAAGTCATTTGTATGTTAAATAGCTCAAACATTCAGTAAATATAAATTGTCAATTCCAGAAAGCAGCCACTCAAGAGTACCTCAGCATTTTCTTTCATGTTTGTCTACAGGAGGAAAATGTCGATGGTAAACAAATGAGCGACTGCGGGGATTTATCCTCGGCCTCTCGCTGCAGGTCGCTGTGTTCTGTTGCAGCGAAAGGTTAAAGGTGACAGAAGAGAAGTCCGTCAACACCAACAGGACAACGTCTAGAACCGAGGAGTCGTTCTTTAAAAACACAACCAGGGTCATATACATTTCTTATTTTCCTCTCAATCTCCCATGAACATGAACCCCTCTGCTTCATCCGACACCCCCCCCTCCCAGGAGCCTGCGGCTGCTCTGATGAGGATAAACACGTTAGAAATGAGTTTCTCTTCACAGCTCGCTTTGCTGTGGAGGAACTGTGCCCACCAGCTGCTTTGTGACACCGAGCAAGATTTCCCTCTAAATCTGACCTGAAGCCACAACATGTAAAACGCGGTGAAGACGCCGCCAATCTCATTGGTGACGGTCTTTTCTTCTACAGTAATTACACTGATGATGACTCAGAATTCATCTTTACGCTGTTTCAAACGGAGGAGAGTATAGCACGTCGTAGTGAAGGGGGATGAGATGAGGAGTCATCAACGTTTGAGTACCAACAGTTTCACTTCTTCTCATGCGTTTCTTCCACAGACTGTTTATAAGACGTGAACGTCGTCCTCGTGACGTCACCCATTGGTTTGTGGACTGCAGTTTTAAATCCTCGAGTTCGGCAATCTTGACTTTTTTGCAACCGATGAACGAAGTGACCATATTTGGAATGCAGAAGAGTGACATAGAGACGCCGTATACGACTCTGGTAGAGACCTGTCAATCACAGTAAGCCCCGCCCTAAAGCACCCCCTGCTTTATGGTCTGTGTGACTCTAAATGGACCATAATGTACTAAATGTACATCATGCTGTATTGAAGAAGACTTGAAACTAGAGATTGAGACCATAAACTCATGTTTACAATGTTTACTGAGGTAATAAATCAAGAGAGAAGTAGAGTCATTTTCTCATAGACTTCTATACAACCAGAGGAGTCGCCCCCTGGTGGTCACTAGAGAGAATCCAGGTTTAAGGGACTTCAGCATTGGCTTTAATCGGCAGAACTGGAGGTTGCCGCCTAGTTTGTGAAAATGATCAATTAATGATAAAAATCTCAAACGAAGTAAAAGTCGAGTATGTTTGGGCTACCTGCTGGAAACGTTGCTCCTCATTTTACGTACGTTTTTCCTACAAAAGTCAGCAACAAGTGTCAAGTTCCGCTCGTTACATGCATACAGTCTTTTCAAAATAAACTTCCATCTTCACAGGAAACAGCTGTCGTTTAAGCAACAAAACTTCTTATTTAGGTTCAGGAAAATATCGTGAAATACTTAGTTTGGTTTAGGAAAAGATCGTTATTTGGGTTAAAATAACTACAGAAGTACCGTTACTAAAGAATGCAAGTTACGTGAGAAATAAATCAATGGGGATCTTATACATTGCATATTTAAAGGAAATCTGTCGTGTAATCAGCAGATCTGAAGTGTCACTTTCTGCCACAAAGAGCAACATCTGAGCTCTTCTTGTGACAATAAACCTTGCTTATTGTAAACTGCTGCGATTAGTGTCTTCTTGCTGCAGGAAATGGTTAAATTGGGGTAAAATGTTTGTTTAAAACATGCATTTTTTGGGGAGAATCACAAAAAACAAAGGCTTATTCACTTTTAATTCCAAACTAATACATTTCACCTCAACATAACAAAGTCACACTACTAACTTCATAACAACTATTCATTTATCATGTAAATCAAGCTCGTCAGCAGTAACAATGTCAGCTGCCATCTTGGGCTGTCTGATGTGTGAAAGCTTTTTAACCGCAACAATCTTTCCATCACTTCCTTCTGTCCCACGTGACCTGAACGCAGCATCAGTGCTGCCAGAGGGGGGACACAAACAGACAGGCTGCCACCAACACTGCAGGTTAAAAACACAGTCTACTCAGAGGTGCACTGACACTCAGCGGTAACGACGTGTGACGTGTCGACATCCGCTCCGAGGGTGAAGCGAAGCTCAGAGGAAGTCAGCCAGTCGTCAGCTGACACAGCTGCTTCTTCACTGGGAAACGTCCGTCTGTGGATTAAAGGCTGCACTCAAGCAGCGAGTCCACCTTAAGTATACTGAATGTGTCCTTTAACAGATAACCACACACACACACGCACGCACACACACACACACACACACACACACTCACTACCTGTTGTGCTTCGAGCATTTTTGACATTTTAATTCAGTAAATGTCCTGATGCACTTTAGTGGTCCAATCAGGATTCGAAGGAGCTGCAGAGGACACAATAACATGTGTTTTACAGCTAAGACTGACTGTTTGAAGTGACTTTAAAGTGATAGTTTGCCATTTTGAAAAATAAAGTTAAATACAGATCAAACAAAAGACAGATAAGACTTTATTATTGGGCTTCAGAGATGCTGATAGGTGGATTTGTGTTACCCTTGGACAGAGATAGGCTAGCTGCTTGATTTTTCTATACTGCTGCACTACAATTGGCCAGTCTGA